AAATAGTTGTATTATATCTACATGTAATATGATTATTTTCTAATCTTTTAGTATATTTATATTATACGTTTTTAAAAAGAGTGGTATATAGACTTCTTTTAAGATATCCCAAAGAGAAAGGATAAAGAATCCTTTGTATATAAGATGGAATATCGATCTTTAATTTCCAAAATAGAAATACTTTTGTTATATCATTGCATTGATTTCTGTTGATAAAGTGTATGCCTGATAAATTTAGCTTTTTCAGTCACACTCAGGTTTATCAGACACGTTATCAATACATATTGAATGAAGAGAATGGAATATATTTACTTCTTTATAGTTTGAAAATATTAAACTGATAAACTTTATTTTGACGAGACTTTTTGAATATTAAAGTCTCTCTTACATTTGACTAGAAATATTTGTGACTAGTTCTTAATATAGATATTACTCATAACATTTGATTCGAGAGGTTCTTGACATGCTTGTTTCATTTGAAATTTTAAAAAAAGAAACGCACATCAAAATTGCAAACAAGATAAAAAGAATACCAAACAAGTGTCTGATTCAGGCTTGGCATGAAAAAAATGAAGGGATTGTCAGAGCCTCGCATTTTTTCTTAGCTTGCTTGATAAATTTTGTTATATCAGACACTAGCATGATATTATATATATCAAAAGTCTAGATGACATTACATCACGAAATATTTACCATAAATGATAACGTTTCAGTTCTTATTATGTATTACACTCTCAAGGTTTATGGCTACGGATACCGAAAGATTAACGTTTTGCAGAAAATCTATTTAGTGTAAAACTGCTTAACACATAACCTGTGAAAAGAAATTCTATGATAATTAAATATAATTAGTCATTTAAAATAGATATGTTGAGAAGCATTGACTTAAAATGTGTAATATTCGTTCAAGAAAAACTATATTTATACCTTAGGTTTGTTACTTAAAATCAGGCATGTATTTTCATAACAAAATATACGCGTTTTACAATAGTTTTCAACATGTCACAAATTAAAACTATTTTCCATGAAAACATGCATAACACATTCAAGTTATAGCTTTAAAAAATTACAATGAGGTTGACAGTATTGTAATATTTTTCAAAACACTTACAATGACATATGGTCTATAAGGAAATTATTCATTTATATAAACTTAAAAAAGGAACGTTACCAACGTGTGATCGCTCTTAAGAACCTAATAAACAATATAAAATGTTCACCGACAAAGTATGAATATAAGATTAAACTTGTCTGTGACAGGAAGCACATTAAACGTAACTTTCCTTTGTTGTACAAACATTTTCAATATCCAACTAGACGAAGGCAAATTTTATTTAATTGGTCTGAAGGGAACACCGCGTTTTCATTATGACATACTGATACAAGATATCTATAGAATATGTACAAAATAAATACCATTTTGAATATTGTCCCCTGCCATCTAAAGTTAAAAAAAAAACAACTAAGGTTACAGCCAAAGCAGCTGTGGTGCCTTAAATGCTGTAATCTTATTAAAAAACAGCAAAGGCCTTAAATATTAACAAGTACAAATGTGCAATGCTAAGTTTGTTGCTTTCTTGTTCTATGTTAATATGGCTGCTGTGGTGTAAAAAGTAGCACCATATATCTGTAGTCAACACTCAGGTTTGTTATAAAGGTGTAAGCTGCAATCGACTTAAAAACTAAACGCTGGCCACTGTTTAACAGTGCCCAAAAAGGTAAAATATCTAAAATATCAGTTATCCAGTTAAGCTATCTGTCAAAAACTTGTCAAATAGGCATTTGGCAGATAACTGTTGCACAGGCCAATGCCTGCTCACTAATAATCTGTGTTTACAGGCCAACGCCTTTAAAGGCGGTTTTGTGGGTACTGGTTTAAAACCCAAAAGTAAACTTTGATCTCGGGTTTCTGCACTTCCAGTAAAAAACTTCATCTTTAAAGTAAAAAAAAGTGTGGTAAGGTATGGTAGTGTAACCGTAATTTGGAACATACAGAAAAAAGTTTATTTTGTCAAACTTGCATTTACAGTAAAAAAATCGCTATATGAAAAATTATTGTATCAAACATTGCTATTGCAAGCATTTCTATGACATTATCTTGTCTATTTAACTGAAGGCCTCGCAAACGAATACAAACCTAGACGTTTGCGCATATCGGTGAATAAATCATTATTTAAAAATCATTTAATACCAATAATCATATTTTACAAGTTTTACTGCTACATATCTTGCTAACGAAGATACGATGTTATGGAATTGGGATATGAACTTCTAATGACCTTTCTGCAGGAAGCAATAATTGTAGAGCATAGGATCGTTAAACTTTAATCAACATTGATCAGTAGTAATTCTAGGATAAAATGGGATTTGCTAACTATAAAATAATAATAAAAAACCTGACCGTAACTTAAACCACGGAGTATCCTGTTTATAGCATGAACCAGTTCCACGCCGTCAGCAGCCAGTGAAATATAGACTGATCCTGTCAAATCAACAGTCATCAGCAGAAATAGGAAAACATAGCATTTATATCGCGTGTTGTGGGAAAAATTATGAACATTTTTATTTTTTGAAACCTCAAAGAATAATGAAGAGTAAAATAAGTTACAATATTTTAAAGTTGTTTTCAGATCTTCCGATAGAAATATTTGATATTTTTTACACTGATATAAGATGGCGAATTTACTTCTTTTCAAGTCGTCTTTCGCCATTGTTCAATAAACCTTTTTGTAGTGTTTCGCATGGAACATCATCCTAGGTAACATGTTACAAATTATTTATGTATTCTTTATTGACGGAAGAAATTTTGAAAATGTTGAAAATGTATAAGTTTCATGACATAAAATAAGATTTATATTTATAAGATTTATCTTTTTGAATAAATGAAACTTATAGGTAAATATTCATATTACACTTATTTATATAAAAATACAACTTTAAGTTAACATTTAGATCAACAAGATTTTAAATTAAGATAACACTTTTATTTTAAGACCATAAAATTGTTTACTTGAAGCACATTTTTCTTAATATTTAGTTTCTGATTTCATTATCCATTGTTCTTATCGTCAGGCATTGATAAAGGAAATGTTACTTAAGACACAGATGTTGATTTGGTTATCAGCATTTAACGAGATTTAGTTCTTTAAAAAATATATAAGCATTTAACAAAGAGTTGATTCAAACTTTACCAAAATCTTAACTAAATGTGTGGCATAGTATTCTTGTTGTTTTAACTTTTTCAACTTATTTGTTTACAGGATTTTTTGTAATTACTACGCCTATTATTTGAAACGAAATACGGTGGTTTATTGTATTGACTTCCACTTCAAAATCTTTTATTGCTTAATTTCGCTGTGTCCTGTGCAAAAAAGATATTAAAATAGCAGCAATCATCTTTTCTAAACCAAAGTTTTTGTATTGATTTATCTAAAAGAAATAGGAAAAAAGTTGATAAAAAACTGTTGGAATTTAAATCTTTAAAGATATACTATGCTCAAATTTGATGTTTGAAAATATTGATAATTTCTACATGGTCTCTTACTTAACATAAAATAAACAGGTTTGACTTCATTCAAAGAGATATGTTATGTTTTAAACTCTAGTGTCATTAAAAAAACTGGCAGTCATTTTAAGAAAAGACCAACTTCACTTGACCTATAGTCGGGAACGCAGCTTCCCATACATACTTTGTAGATTTTGTATTCAAATTAAACATATTCTGTAAAGATTTCATGAAATTCAACAAATTTCTGTGATGATAATATTTTACTCAAAGACGAGCATAGTATATCTTTAATACATCAATTGATATTTTATAAGTAAGATGCATAAATGAACTAAATAATAAGTAGCGTTTACAAATTCAAACATTTACTTGATAGAAATGAAAACGGTCCTTTATAACGATTATTGAAATGTTAATGAGGAAATATACACTGGTTAAAACTTCTGTTAATATGCTTGATTACTTTATTTTACTTAAATCTAAAATAAAACGTCCAAATAAATCATTACCCTATACTTAATGTGATTTAACATTTAAATTCTAAAATTTTGTATTTTTGGACATGTGATTTTTAAAATTATAAAACAACAACATTATTAATCCGACCTAGTTTGATTGGGCTTGTTTATTGTCAGAAGAGATAAATGCAACATGTTTATATAATTTTAGGCATATTAGGTAAGAATGGTTTGACTAGAATACCTTAGCATCAAGACAGTTCAGTGGGTATTCTAAACAATTACGTAAAGATTTAATTATTGAGAGATTACTATCATGGTAATATATCAAATACATATAGTACAATCAAAGTAACGAAAAATTCAAATGCCGACTCTTTGTTCGGTTAATACGAAACCGACTAGGAAAACAACGACAACAAATTAAAAACGCTAATATAAACGTTTCTTATTTCTATTCCTTTCCTGTAAATTACAAGCAACGGTTAAGATAATACAGGAGGATATGTAAACAAATATTTATACTAATACTATATCCGTTAATGCAATCGATTAGAACAGATCGGATGATAAAACAGCAGTTGATTAAAGCAACAATATCGAATAGCTATCTAAGTCTTGTAGTAAATTAATTTGTTTGTTTTACCTGAAACCTTGATAGACTTCTAGCACATGTTATTAAATAATTAGTTCATGTCGGTTAAAAATCTAGTATATTTTAAATATACAAATATATATTCTGTAGTTATAAGTTGTTTTTAACTTTCCTAATCGGGTTGCTTCAATGCATTTCAAATACTCCTTTGTCTGTAATAATATGAAGAAAGGAACTCAAATTGACTTTTACAAATATACACATATAACGGGTCGCATTATGTTTACAGAAAATAGTTTTATTTCAAATCCTTTTTTGTTTGTTTGCGTGCACTGTTCGCTCACTACGACTTATTTCCGATACTTCTTTATTAGCTATGACATAAGTATTGGAAAATCATTCACGGCCTCTCCAATCGCCCCACTACAGATATTCAACTTGTAGTTTGTGTTTTAAGACTGTGATCAGAGATCGCAAATTTCTCTCAAATATCTCTTACATGGGATTAAATGTTCTAAAAAGAGAGCGCAATGAATGAACAGTTCAAATACTGGTACAGTATCTTGATAACTATACGACTTGTCATTTGAAAGGAATACTGTTGTACTGGTAGCAACGGTCATTGTAGCATACAACTTGTTAACGCAAACGTTTCAATTTATTTTCGGGGATTTGAAATAGAAAACGTTATCATTAGTACAAATATGTGACATTTAGTTCAGCATATCGGAATTACAAATTATGAAAAGGGGATTAAATAAAATGTTGTTAATGACTGCAATGTTCGAAACAATTGTTTCAGGTAAGTTTTATTGTTTTAATATTGTCTAACAAAAGCTTATACATGTACTTCACTTAAATGTATATCAGTTTGATGAACTGTAATCCTTTAAACACCATCTAAAATAAATGTGCAAAAAACAATGCGCAATAATACAATTATGCCTTTAATTTTGTTAATATTTCAGTAATGGAATTTACCATGAAATTACAAATTTATATTGTTAAGCTTGTCATTTTCTAAAACATTTATCAATTCGAATATCTTAAAAAGTATAAAAACAACATATACATGTATTTACCATAAGCGTAATATCAGCAACTTCTGCAAACCATTTAGTTTTTTTAAATTTGTTGTTTATTTTGCTTATTCTATTTTAAACGCAATGAAATGTATGATTATTGTATGGTATTCCTTTCATAACAGAAGATTAAACAAAAGTGAAAATTAACATTACTTATTTTTGGCATGGTTATTTGACATCATAACCGTCGAATGAACAATGTGAAATATGACTAAAACACTCTTCAAACAGGAAGTCAAATGCAGTTCTCTTTACCTAAGTTATATTTTGGAACAAACTGATTCACATCTTTATTGTTTATACAAATTAATGTTGGAATAAAGAGATTTCGTGCAAAATATAGCCTGGCTTCAAAGTAGAGTATTAGAAAATGCTTTTTCAACATCCTTTAAAGACATTTAAAAACATCATGTGTCGCAAATACCAGTAATGCTAGCTGCAAAAAATACTAAAACGCTTTAATCACATAATCTCGAAACTTAACTTTATAGTCATGAACCGACAATCTATTTAAGAAGTTTTGGTTGGACCTTTGGGTGCGGTAGTTTACACAATTTGTTGTAATATTCTTAGAATTTAACCTTTGATAATTTCATTTTTTTTTTGGAATATGTATGCATATAATTGCATATACAGTTTTTAGAAATCTTTGCTTGCTCGGTATACAATTTTTGTCTTACACTGTTTACTTCTATACCAACATTATTTTACATGTTTGTACGACATTTATGTTATAAAATAGCCAGTTAAATGTCACAGTGTAGTTGTTATTTCCTTACAATTAATTATCAAACAAAAGGAAAAATCCAGTCTTCAAAAATACAACAAATTGAAATGTTAACACAAATAGTATGATATAAAATATTATTTGACAACAAAATTGAATAATTACTGAGTAAATGGAAATAACAACAACAACTGAACAAACAAATATTGTAATAGTGTACAGCACCATGTATATTAAGAGAAACGAACTTTGTAACTTCAGTTCATGCCTTAAAGTGCTGGAAGTGTATTGCACATGACTGTAATGCTGACCTTGAAGACAATTACAAAGCAGCAAAGGTCAAATGTCAGGAAGGTCAAATGTGTATGGTAAGAATCCCTTATTTTTAAAATGTTAAATTTTATTTTAAATAAAACTTATTTTTTCGATCATGAACTTGCGTCTGCTTGATGATAAAGCAAAAACGTCAGAGTTGTTTTTCCAGTATTATAGTACTACTCGTATATAGATATTCTGATATAAAGATGAATAAAATTCACGACTGCTTTGTTTTAAGTCTATAATGAATTAATATTTGTAACGTTCAATTTACTTTGTTTCAGAAAGTTCGGTACAGAATGTTTGACAATGTGACACACTATGATTCTGTTATACGGACTTGTACAGACACTAATTGTGACACATCCTCCATAGATGATTTCTTCTCGTGTATAGCCAACCCTGCAAAATACATGATCGGAGGTTGCACATTGCGTTCGTGTTGTGACGACAAAGATCTATGTAATATAAGTGTTAAAACAGTGACGTCAGGATTTCATATACTTCTTTTCACTATGTGCATGGCGCATTTGATATAAAACATTATGTTAAAAGAAGTGTTTTATGTCAAACAGAATTAATTTTGTACATAAAAACAAAGCATTCACATTTGTCTTTCAAATTGACAGCTACAGTTAAATAAATGTTATCAATTGGAAATAATATTAAAGAGAATCTGCGAAATACAATTACAGAATCTTATCTTTCATAAAATAATTCTTCCCTTGATTCATTTTTATTCATGGTTATTAATTTCTGTGATTAATCTCAGTTAAAATCTTCTTAAATGACAATCACATGTGATGCTCCTGTTGAAAGTGATACATGACGATAATTTTATGATGTACATATCCGCATTATATTGCATAAGATTTACAAATCAAAAGGACAAAAATAAGAAATAAAAAATGAATTAATCCTATTATATTGCGTGATAAATAATCAAACAAGAGAAAAACATCAATAACAAATTACTTTCGTGAAAAAATTTGGATCGTCACAACAACGTTACAAACGCCTTATGCATTTTATTTTTTTAATTTGATTGACAATAATTGTTAATTAGCTTTAAATTTATGTTATTTTTTGTTTTCCTTTTGTATATTTTGTAAGCTATATAGTACTTTTGATGATTAAACACTGGCTAAATAAGTGGGGGAATGTTAAATCATTTATTGTATGTCATGAGCTGTTCAAATTGATACATCCTTTAATTTTGGTATAGTATGATTATTATATGTTTTCCGTTACACTGAAACCGCATGGTTATATAAACGAATTTCTTTTTTAACTGTTGACAGTAAACGTCATAAAGAAAATAAATTCGAGACTTTTTTTAAATTTGATTTAAAACGGTGCATTTGTACTATATGTAAATATCAAACGAAATGCTTTTGTTTTTTGTTCTTGTAATGATATATTTGTATACTCGGAACAGATTCAATTTAGTTTATTTACTGTATCTAAGTACTAAAAGAGTTTTGAGGCAGCTGGGTGTAGTTAGGCTTTATATGTACAAAACATAATGAAGTTCAATATGTGCCATGAAATTAGTCAGTCTTTTATGCCTTTTCCAGAGATAACATGTGTATGAAGGCTTAAAATTTGATTGTTTTACAACTGGTTTATTGAAATATACCTAAAAACTGTCTGACTTCATATTGGAAATATGTAATATATAAGTAACTAAGCAATATACACAAAACGACGAGAATTTGAAAGTCCATATAATTTATGTATTATGGCGAAAAATGTCAATTTTAAAGTGGATCAGAAATGAATATAAAAAAATAAATAACGCAATTCAACACTTAAAATAGAATTAAGCGAAATAAGTTTGTATGATGGAACAGTATGTTTACAAATTAATTTCTTATCATTATGAAATAAAAGACATAACATTTAAATTAAATTAAGATGCAAAAATCACATTTTATGATCAGCTCTTCTTTTCTATATTGAGAGTTAATTGATGTATATAATGACAGACGTATTATCTTGTCTGGGGAAATAAAATCATCCACATAATTGTTGTAAATTGTCTAAGGAATCCCATCTGAAATCAGTCTAAAATATTTTGTATGAATAACAACATTTCAATTCAAACGTGTTTGTGAATACGACGTTTTTATGAAGGGCTTTCAATTTTATTTTGAAATATTTTAAATGTACCTTGTCTGACAATAAAATACATTTTCTGAAATTATTCCATTGAAATAATAGAGGATAAGAGAGTAAACACCACATATCAGGAAAAACATTAGCTAAAATATCATCTTGAATCAAATCAATGTGAAACATTTAAAAGATTTAATTATTACTATAATTATTGTTTGATTAAACAATATTGCCCTTGATGTTTCATTCTATTTGAAACTTTTCCCCTATATCATTGTATAAAAGGGATTCATGAAATTCATGAATTACAAACACAACCAATAAAGCTTAGCTGTGAAATAAATGGTTTTTGTTCAAACAAGTCATTAAATTAATGATATATATATTATAAACACACTGATGCATAATATACTTCATAGACATGGGGTGATATGGTTCGTGTAGAAGTTAAATTAAAGGGTTAACACATTGGCGAAAAAGACAAACATTAATATATTTAACATACCCTTCCCGAAGTTCAAATATAATGTGTATTCTGCATAAATAAAGTAAAACTTCACATCAGTGTTGTTATATTTTTCTAGTCCTATGGGATCATTGAGTCCAGTACTTTTAAGTGTTGAGAATTGAGAACCGCTTAAGCTGGTGCTAGGGGCGTGAAGGATGGTGTATTTTATTATTATCCCTCTTGTACAGGCTCAATCAGACCGAGTCTGCATTCATGTAATGTTGCTGTTTTTAATGCTTCCGAGGGATCACTTTTTTCTAGATATTCATATGTCGGGAGTAATAATATATGGTAGTATTTGTCACCAACTTGATTTTATGTTATGTTCTATAACTGGAGTTCCAGGCTGTTATTGATACCTCTTATTTCAAATGAATATACACAACATCTTTTGTGATACTGCAATGATACGACTAAACCATTTGAATGTTTGTTTCGTTGGCTAAGACTGCCTTTTGTGAAGTTTGTTAATAAACTGAATGGTTAATGGTTGATGGCATAATTGAAATAGATAAATACAGAATCCCTAAAGGAAGCCCAACACGGCAAAATTGAAAATGTTGCAGGCTCGGTTTGATTGAGCCTGTTCATGGACGGTACTGGAAAGTGCAAGTTACCGTCCACGCCCCCTAGCACCGGCTTAAGCAGAATTCAACATTTAAACATGAAATAGTAAAATTTTGAATTTAGAAACATCAGCAGATGTGTTCATACGGCGGTTATCATGGAACCTTCAATGTGACACTTCCGTGCCATTCCATGATAAGCGGCGTATGGTCCCCAAGTAATAAAAAGGGTGTGCCCTAAACGAGAAAACAATGGGCGGAACTAAATAAAATGGAATTTTGAAAGGGGATCAGAGGTTATGAAGCCAGCATATCACAGATAAGACGTCAAAAGACAAATTTAAAAAGCAGGCAACATAGCCTAAGGGTGATTCAACATTATTCAAGTAGGAATATTGGAACCACCCAACTAGAAAATGCCGAAAAGTTGAAACTAAAAATACCACAAGCACAACAATAATGTCGTGCTGAACGATCTTCAAGGATCGAAAATATAACATCATTGATTAAATGTACGGGGAGACTTTTTACAGCCGCCACACGGCACAAATAACACGGATGTGATCATAAAATATATAATACAGAATCCCTAAAGGAAGCCCAACAAGGCAAAATTGAAAATGTTGCAGGCTCGGTTTGATTGAGCCTGTTCATGGACGGTACTGGGAAGTGCAAGTTACCGTCCACGCTCCCTAGCACCGGCATAAGCAGAATTCAACATTTAAACATGAAATAGTAAAATTTTGAATTTAGAAACATCAGCAGATGTGTTCATACGGCGGTTATCATGGAACCTTCAATGTGACACTTCCGTGCCATTCCATGATAAGCGGCGTATGGTCCCCAAGTAATAAAAAGGGTGTGCCCTAAACGAGAAAACAATGGGCGGAACTAAATAAAATGGAATTTTGAAAGGGGAATTGAAAATTGATTTTGAACATTTTAACATTTTACATCAACCTTTTTATGAAGAAAAAATAGGGTTGTCAGACTTGGGGAATTATTTGGAATGCTCATTTTAAGAAATCATTGAAACAAGTTTTTTCATACTCTATATGTCCAGATAGACATTTAATGTTATAAACATGTTTCGTTTGTTTTACCTCCTATCTAAAGCGATTTAGACATGATCATTATCATTTTCATTGATTTCAACCAAGTATTTAAGCATGTAACTGTCTTGGAGAAACGAACTTAATTTATTGCCGTTAATGTGACATTTCAATCCAGTTGTTACGTCTCGTGGGACGTTTGTGTGCGTTAATTTCTTTTAGCATGTGTTAAAGGTGCCAAAATGCTACCGCAATGGCAAAGGAAAAGGTAATAAAAACTTTCCTAGTGAAACAGTTACAAGATCATCGACATTTGTGAACTTTAAACATATATTTATGTATATTGAACTTTTACACAAACAAACTCCGGAGAGGAACATAGCATAATAATGATATCAGTTACATACATTGACTTTCAGTTTTGCATTACTTTATTCAATTTGAACCCAAAGTATCCGTATGTGTCCTACTAAGAAAGTATATTAGTAACAAAGTATTCCAAATGTATGCGATAAATCAACATTAAGCAAAGAAAATGTTAAAAGGAAATAGCTGTTTTAGTATAAAAATAAGCAATGGTAGATGATATGTATCTAAAGCACGTATTTACAAGGAAGAACCAACGTTAAAATAGATAAAAACGGAAGCTAAAGAATGCCCATAACGACATAATTGATAATGTTGCAGACTCGGTTTAATTAAACCATGGACGGTACTGGAAAGTGCAAATTACCGTCCACGTCCTAGCGGCATTGGTCCCCAAAATAAAGAATGCGTGTTCCCTAAACGAGTAAAATCAATTTGCAAGCAGCTTCGAGACAGATTCAATATAAACTCATTTTATGTTGATGGATATTTTCTTTTACATTTTCTATTTTAGAAAATATATTCGTGTTGAAAGTCATTATCAAGTTAAATAATGAATCATTGACAGGATATTTCCAAACTAGTAGCGATTGCTCTTATAGAGAATTGCTTCAATTTTTTATTACGTGTAAAAACATTAAACTTTGTCATGAAGAACAGAATGTTTTTATTTTTATTTCACTCTAAATATTTCAATAATCAATGTTTGTAAAGACATTAGCAAATCAATTATTTAACTTGAAAAATACCTTTCAAAGCTTCACATTCAAAAGAAGTTGTAAAATACTGTTTTATTTTTTTATTTGATCCGGTAAGTTGTTTTGTCAATATGTCTTCAGTTTTAATGTAGTTTTTTAACATTGCGAGTACCAAATTGATTGAGGATTTATTTGAAACAGTTACAATACAAACTCATTGCATTACAACAACTTGATAACATTTGAAAACACCATCTACGAAAAATAGGTTTCAAAAAATAAGATGGCAGCATATTACCACATTGAGAAACACTAACGTTCTGATTTATATTTTGATATGTAAGATTTATGCATGTTTAAATATCATTTAAGCAATTTCAATATTTAGATATGAACAAGAAACAAAGAATTAACTTGCAACTT